GCTAGCCACGAAAAACCGCGTAGTATTACACAATGAGTTTACTTTATTAATTCTATCTATTCCTATCGTTTACTACTCGGTCTCATTTTCCTTCTTTGGCACATTTATTCCTACCAAGGATCTTTGCTGGTACCCGGTTTAGGCTGCTGCTCCATCCTCGCGCCTTTTCCTTCTCTTGCCCCGCGCTCTTTGGTTGGGTTTTTCCGCCCTTCGCCTCGCTTGCTTTCACAGCTTTCACCCTCGTGCTGCATCCTCCTGGGAAAGAATGGTCGCAGCTCCTGCCACGTTGTTCGCATATCTTTTTGCTGCACCAGCTGCTTTGCTGCCGTTCTGGTGCAGTCTAGATACGCCGTTCGGTGGCATGTTCCCTCTCTGCCTTTGATACCTCTAATTCTGATATCTCCTTTCTCTACTAGGTGCCCTAGATTAGTTTTCCTAATAGCCTCTTCTATTTCCTCCCCGTCTAAATCGGGATCCGTTACCCCTATTGCTACTTCTACTGTGTCCGCGTGGACGCGCGCCGTCCATTTTCCCTCCCCTTCCCTATTAATTTCCCCGGCGCACTCACGACTACTGGCCTCCCCTTTACCCTTTTTTATAATAATAATAATATCCCCCTTCCTCGTATCCCTAATCTCCGTAAAATTTGCTGCGAATTTCTCCACCCTTGGTCTCAGCCATCTAATAGCTCTCCAGTAGTCCATTTCTCCTCTAGGGTATTTGACTAATATAACTTCCTCTCCCTTTTTCCCCCCGTCCCTCTTGTTCTTGTCCCCGTTTTCCCCTCTTCCCACCCCTTTCCCTTCTCCAATTTTCTCTCTCCCTGTCTCGTTCTCCCCAATACTTTCCTGTCCTTTGCTACTTTCCCTTGCTTTCCTGATCTCTGTGTTTATCTCCCTCACTTCCTCGCTTTCCTCCTGTTTTCCTTTTGCGGCGACCACCTCTCTTACTCCCTCCTTCATCTTCTCGCTTCTCCTTCTCGCCCCCTCTCTCCTCAGCCGAATGAGTTTAATAATCGGCTGCATGTCGGCTTCCTCCGCCGCGTTAGCTACATTTATCCTCCTATTTTCCACCACTGCTGGTGGAAAAATCTCTTGCCCCGGCTTGCGTGATCCTCCCGCCTTTCGTTGTCCAAGTTTCGGTCTTCATTTTCCTCTCCTTTTGCCCTTGGTACAGGCGTGGAGCTGATTACAGACGGTGGCAGCTCCTGTATCTCTGCCATCCATCCTGCCTCCTCTAATTCGCACATGGAAGCTTCTGCTTCTTCTATCGCATCCAATGCTTCCACAAGTGCCCTAACTTCTTCGTCTTCCCCGCTATCCTCTTCCTTCCTGTTCTTTTTGTTGTTGCTCCTTTCGTGCTCCACTCGTCCCATCCCTCTCTTCTTGCCTTTGCCTTCTTTTCCGGCCTCTCTCCTCTCCTTGTCCTTTGCCTCCATTTGTACCCGTTCGTCCTCCCGCACCTTGCCCTCTATAATATTTCTTGCCATCTTCACCATGTTGGTGACCTCGTTAGCAGGCAGTTTGGCTCCCTTAAATTTCTTAAATGCCTCCATGTTCCAAGTCACCTTCTAAAGTGATAAGAAGAAAGGTGAGGGGTAAAAGAGAAAAAGAGAAAAAAGAGAGAAAAGAAAGAAAGGAGAAGAAAAGCTTAATTAACTAAATAAAACTAGCACTATTGGTAGTATGTACCGTATGTGTGCATAAGGTGTGTATAATATGTCTGTCATGTGTATATGTGGATCGTGCTGGCAGTAGCAATAATAATAATAATACTGTCATTGCTGCTACTTTCCGGGTTAAGTTGACTGACTCATTTCTGCTACCACTTCTGTTATGCAATGTTTATCGCTTTGTTGGGTCAATATCGCTCGTAACGAAAATCGCGTGGAGTTGGATATTGTTCCCGAGAAAATAAAACAATAGTTTTTTGCCGGACTTCCGACGGAACAATAAACTTATATATTTTAAACAAAAAAAGAACTGTACATTTGTCAAAAGTATTAAATATAATCGCACGATACACACACAAATCAAATGTCTTTTAACTTAACTAAACAACTTACTTAAATACGAAAGAAAAGACTCCGAAGCAGTACGTTTTACTGTTCGTGATCGTGAGAATATCTCGAAAGCGAAAAAGGTATCGTTTCGTAATGTTGGTATTGATATTAATTTAATATTAATTTATTATTGATGCTAATGTATGCCTTGGGCTTATCACTAGTTGTAAGCCTTCTGTATCGTATAGCTTACCTTTATATCCTCACTTATGCACTGTTTTAACCACACCACTGTTCGCACTTTCCTACTCTTCTTCTCTATTACTGGTCTCTGACTCTTACTGCTCCTCTTGCCTTTGCTAGCTCAAAACTGATCCTGTGCTTCCTTCTAGTTTCCTTGTCACCTTGTTCCTGCATGTGTAACGACTCTGGAACCGAACCTAGGTTCAGATAGTTACCAGCGCTAGGAAGGTAAAGAGCGGCTTTTACCAACTGAACGACTCGTTTTGGAAAATAACTAAATGTTATTTATAAAGATTGTGGGATTCGTGTGGTGTGCGGTTAAGGAGTGAAATCCACAGGTCAATATCTTTCAACAATAAGGTTTATTCAATAATATAACGAAGATGATGAACTTAACAAATAACAAGTAACAAATAACAACAAAATATGGAAAGTGTACTGGTTTGATCAAAAGAAACTAAATAGATTTTGATATAATATTAATAATAGAAATAGCACTTGGCAAATTGTAGCTAGCTACTAGAACGACCCACGACCAAGTATCCAAATGGCGTATAATCGCTTGACCAATCAAGTATCAAAATTCGTTGCGGCTCTTAACAGCGGAAATTGTTCTGAGTTCTTATTCTTTTCAATAATACTTCTATCGTGCTCGACTGCGAAAACTGTTCTGCTTTTGGACGGGTTTCGCTCGCCCTTTTATACTCGCCAGCCTGGCGAATTCTCGGAAAACCCCCATAACGTCGAAATACAGGGTTTGTCCGGAAAGTCATAGGACTGATTTTCTTCCGCCGCGACTGTAATTCGGAGCGTGCTCGCACAGACTGGATCCGGTAGAGGGCGTTCCTAGCTAACGAACGAGCGGCCGGTCATTTTTCTCCGAGCACCTGGAGAGTCAGGACAGGCTTTTTCGCGCGACGTGTTTCTGTGAGTGGTGCAAGCCGAAAATGCAGCGTTCGTTAGAGCAGAGGTACGCGATTAAATTCAGTGTGAAACTCGGTAAATCTGCGACAGAGACGCTTGATATGATCAAACAGGCTTACCCAGATGATGCTTCAGCAAGAAGTGGTGTGTTTCGGTGGCACAAGGCCTTTTCGGAGGGCCGGGAAGAGGTCGCCGATGAAGACCGTGCTGGAAGACCTTCGACTTCGACAAACACCGACAATGTGACTCGTGTGCGCAAAGTTTTAAACTCAGACCGTCGACTAAGTATTCGCTTAATTGCACAGATGTTAAATTTACCAAAATCTGTGGTTCATGACATTGTGACGGAGCATTTGAACATGCGCAAGGTGTGCGCGAAGATGGTCCCAAAAGTGCTTACTGACGACCAGAAATTGCGGCGAGTGGAAGTGTGCCAAGAAAATTTGAACATGTGTGAAAGTGACCCCCAATTTTTGAATAACGTAATCACAGGTGACGAGTCATGGATCTTTGAGTATGATCCCGAGACAAAGAGGCAATCTTCCGAGTGGCACACGCCGGCGTCTCCTCGCCCAAAAAAGGGAAGAATGAGCAAATCCAAAGTGAAAACGATGCTCATTGTCTTTTTTGACACGAAAGGCATCGTCCACCATGAATTTGTTCCCCCTGGACAAACCGTCAACGCCAAGTTTTACGTGGAAGTGCTCAAGAGACTCAAACGAAGGGTCAATCGGGTCCGACAAGACATCGCAGCCGACTGGAAGCTGCACCACGACAATGCCCCGGCTCACACCGCCTTTCTTGTGAACAGCTACCTGACCAAGGCCAGCATCCCAACGCTCCCGCAGCCGCC